CAAAACAGTATGATAAAGAGAGAAACTAGTTAAAAAGAATATAAAATGAAGTCAATGTAAAAAACGAAGCATTCATATTCTGCTTCTCGATGTAAAAAAAGAGAAATACCCAAAACGTCCATTCATTTCTATATTTTCACTTCAAATATATTTCACTCGACATGGGACTACACGGTGTCATTGTCAGCTGTTTTGTAGATATTTAGTCGGTGCGTAGTTTGTATATCCCTATATAAAAATTACAGTACGGCACTGCCAGTGTACATCGGGGCGGGGGGTATGCCATCGATCACTGGCAGTGGTGCGCACCCGTGCCCAGCAAATGCCGAACCAGTGCCGATTGGCACCCCTGCGCGCCAGTGCCAATATATTTCTGCCGAAAGAGTGCCACTCTGGTAAAAATCAGTGCCGCACTGGCAAAAATCAGTGTCGCATGGGTGCTGCACTAATAATTTATTTAATCAATTTAATTAGTCCTTTATTATGGTTGCCCTACAAAAAAATATTTTATCGGCACTGGTTGTGCACGGGTGCGCACCGATGCGCACTAATGCCGAAGTTTTGTTTTCAATCACCATTTTATTTTGTCAATTTCTGTCTATATTAACGCCACAGTCTGCTTCTAATATTTCGAATGTCTTTTTTGACTTCATCTTTTCCTTCTCATAAGAGAAGTGCCGAGGCAATGCCGCATGGTTTTGGCATGTTGATGTGGTACTGATCAGTACCGCACTCTAATACAAAATGCAGCATAAACAACCGTAATAAAGAACTAATTAAATTGATTAAATAAATTATCAGTGCAGCACCCATGCGGCACTGATTTTTGCAGCGCAGCATTCATGCGGCACTGGTTTTTTTGCCACTAAGGCACTGACTTTTATCAGTGTGGCACACTTTCAGAAGAAATATATCGGTACTGGTTCGGCACTTGCTGGGTACGTGTGCGCACTGGTGCGGGTCGGTGCCCAGAAAAAAAATTATTCGGCACCGGTGCGCACCCGTGCACAACCAGTGCCGATAAAATATTGTTTTGTAGGGTATTTCATTCACATGTCCGAGTGAAATATATTTGAAGTGAAAATATAGAAACGAATGCACGTTTTTTTTGCGTATTTCTCTCCTTTTACATCGAGAAGCAGAATATAAATATTTCGCTTTTTACATTGATTTCATTCTATATTTTTTTTAACTAGTTTCTCTCTTTATCATACTGTTTTTGAGACAGAAACATGTTGACTTACCGTCTATATGAATAACAAGAAGCTAATTCGGTACACTTCAGCTGTACTCGCTTAATATGTATTTTTATCGGCCGTTCCACTCCGTCATCCTACTGGATAGCGGCCTTTTTCCCTCTCTTCATCTTTCTTAGGTAGCATCACGTCATAAAATTGAAAGTAAGCAACGTGCATAGCATATTCGGCTTACCATCTGATGCACTATGCTATCCGATGACGTTAAAGTAGAAACGGTTCCAGTCAAAGTAGAAACGGTTGCAGTCGAATTAGAAACGGTTCCACTCAAAGCGCCCGATGGAAATATCCTCGATCGACCTCAATCTATCGTGTGGCGCATGGTTCAAGGCACACATTTCTTATTAGGCAGTCTTTGTTTTATCGCTGGATCTTGCTTTTATTTTGCCGATGTTATTAATAGATATCCTTCGGCACTGACCGTCGGTGCATGGTTCTTCATAGTCGGTTCATCCTTCTTTCTACTTAGCGATATACAAGATTGGTGGTACTATCGAATTGGTTGCTTGTTTGATTGGAAATATCGAGAGGAATATGAGGCTTACAATGCCGATCTGTTTTCACACCCACGATACAAGATACTTGGTCGATTGAAACGAGCCGAGGTTGGACTTAATCTTTTGGCTTCAGTCATTGGTTCAACTCTGTACCTTGTTGGATCAATACTATTCTTACCGACTCTTTCAAACGGATTATTAGCCGGTGAAATGTGTTTTATAGCTGGCTCAGCTGTTACCTATCTTTCTCAAGGCTGGAAAATCTATCGAATAGCCTGCACAAGCAATGTCGATCGATACGATACTCGTTTTCGTTTAAACAATTTATTCCACGACATCCCAGCATTTGCCCTTGATACCTCTAGCGGACTCGGGGCTTTCTTTTATTTTATCGGTACAATTTTTTTCTTACCACAATTTACTAAAACTGATTTTGGTCTTGACAGAGCAGCAGGACTTTTTGTATGTGGTGGAGTTTGTTTTACTATTGCCGGTTTAATACTTCAATATCGTCATTATTGTACTCGTCATAAATGAAATTAACCCCATATGAATTTAAACTGTCAGCTCGTAATGGTTATGGAAATACAATTATTTTACGATCGAAGGTCACTGTTCGGATATAAACAGAAAATCATTCTGAAAGAAAAGTCGTAAAACAGCCTAGTAAAATAACATAGGAAACATATGTAGAGAGGCGAGGATGAGGAACTAAAGGTGTCCTTTCTACCATATCGTCTGTGGTTAATGTCCATCATAATCATGTAAAACTATAACCATTAAAACTTCTGTGGAAAATATTTATACATGAAACATTGTCCAGAAGACTTCATACTCACCCCTCATCAATTGCATAAATTTTTGATGAAATCTTTTTGTTCAAAGAATCAGTACCAAATATACCTTACGGTGTAGTTTTGTCTGCTAATCTCAAATATGTTTATGACGGACATTAACCACAGACGATATGGATATGGTTCCAAATATGTCGTTATTTTTAATTTAAATGTTTTAATGAACCTAGAAAAACCTAATTAATTTCAAAAACCGAGGGTAGTTGGTTTTGGTAGTTGTTTTTAAAAGTGTAGTAGAACTGAAATTTCGTGTAATGTCATTTGATCCGTGCCAATAGAAGCTTGGAAATAAGTCATAAAAACAGTTGTTTTACTTCTAGAACGTTTTCTATTGTTCTCTTCCTCGTTTCATATATATAAATAGATCATTTTTATTGAATTAAAACATTTCTGAGCCGAGAAAAATAGAAAATACCTCGAGAACCATGGGTATTTTGAGAAACCTGCTGTACGGTCCAGGTGCATTTATGCATGTCATCATAGTTGTCACATAATGTTCTTATAATCCACTTAATTGATGAAGAGATCTCATTATCGAATGCAAAAGAGTATTGACCGAAAAAAGTCAAATTAATATGAAAATACTGAAAACAGATGTTGCTGATGCCCTTTTATCCATGGAATTAATAATGACACTACTATTCAACAAAATTGATTGTATTGTGGTTCTAGAACAGAATGGTTATATTGCAACAGTTATTTGGTGGAATTGTTAAACGAATGAAAACAGCTGGCATACCAATTGCTGCATATCCAATATAAATAAGTTAAAACGCTGAAGCTATGAAACCAGTTGTTAATTACTGTGTTAATAACATTGCAATGGTCAACACCCAGGTCAAAAAATCAGATCGAGATCTTACACGATCTTGTAAAATCTTACGGAAAATCATAGAAACGGATTCATCTCATAAAATCTTATAAAATTCATACAAGAATCTGACGAAATCTTACTATAAGATCTTACATCAAGAATCAGTTTCTATTTTTGTTACAGAATCTTACAAATTCTTATACGAATCTTATGAAATCAGACGGAATCGTACAGGAATCTTATAAGATCTTACAGCAAGATTCTTTGACCTGGGCAATATTGAAAGTGCGTGTGTTTTAGCTTTGTCCATTATCATGTAAGATCTCAATTCCCTTAGTTAGTCGTGAAATGGAACGAGGCTATCGATTAGCAGTTTTTAGTGGCTTCCCTAACACGAGAACCTCTACAGGTGCTCATCTGCACTTTCAGTGATATTATGCCTATCGATAGAGGATATTGTTCTAAGAAACGCTTAAAAGGCTCTGAGCCCTTGTTGCTCCTTTCAAAAGTTATGAAATTTTTTGTTTGCTCATAGACGGGCTGACGATAATACCAAAGATTTGTATCTCTATAAAAACAGCGAGATAAGGGCTGAGGTTACTTTCCACATCTGTGCTAGTGGTCTGCTAATATCGCAGAAATATTCGAGCCTTCAGCTTTTCCACATATTGATTAACTGAATTTTTATTTCGTTAAGGAAATCCTTATTTTCTTCATCTTATACTCTTCCGTCGCAATTTCTTCATATTTTGGTTTTCTGTAGAGAAAAACAACTTTCTTACTCAAAAGTGAAATAATAAGCTTTCTGCACAGTAGAATTTAAGTACTGAAAAAAGTCGAAAGTTCGAATATTTCTGCGATATTAGCAGATGTGGAAGAAACTTCAGCCCTTATTTCGCTGTTTTTATACTGTAGAAAGAGGAGCATCAGCTCGAGAACGTTTTGTTAGACATATATCCCAAATCAGAGTTTAACGTAGCGTTACACTATAGCCAGAATATTCATTCGAATGAATATTCGGGACGTTATGACTATACCGATTGAAACACGTTATCTTAATGATGATCATCGAGAAGCACGGGAATGATTTTGGATATAATCAGAGATTTTAATCGATTGAGAAATTAAAGAAGTCATACTTTTCTTTCATTAGAAACAGGCAAAGTTTATTTCTGACTGTTTTTTATTCTTTATCGTTTCTATTTCCTAGGTTTCAACAGGTAAATCTGCCAATAAATTTCTTTAAATCTTTGAAAAAATTTGCGTTCAAGGAAGAATATGGCAATCGTGAATACGCAACGCATATTATACATGATTGTAAATTATATTGGAAAAAGTTGGTTGCCCATGAAACAAAAGTGGAATGTTCAGTTGTTAATACAACGTTAATGAACAAGCATACAACTGATAAAAAAAAGCACAACAAATTGTTGAAAAAGAATCGGCTACGAATCCAACAGTTCATAAGTGGACGTATATTGTGAATAACGAAAATTTTAAAATTTAATTTTTGCTGAACATCAATACACTGTAATTTGGAATTAATTTCTAGTTTATAGAAAATCGATCTGGAAAATCGTGGAGCTTTTTCTGATATTTATAAAATGCTCGTAGATTTTCTGACTTTTTAGAAATTCGCGATTTTCTA